CCAGCGACGGGTCGTACGACTCCGAGATCCGCACCTTGGACGCCAGCTTCGACAGTGCCGCCAGCTGCGCAGACGTCTTGTCGGCGTGGGCCGCCGAGCTCGATGAGCCCGGACCCAAAGAGGCTGCCGCCGCCGCCGCTGCCGCCGCTGCCGCCGCACCACCACCGCCGTTGGCCTTGGCCCCAGCCGACGGCGCTGCCGCCTTCTTGCGCGGGCGGTTCATGGCGGGCAGGGGCACGCTACCCCCAGTCGCACCTGCGCCGCTCCGGGATGCCGAGCCGTTCCTGCCCGCCTCGGGCAGCACGACCGAGGCGAGCTGCCGGGAGCGGTTGAACTGCTTGGTAAAGTCGCCCCGCGCCATCTCCCAGTCGGCATCCTCGACCCGGCCTATCCGCGTCAGATCCTCGTCCTCCGAGTAGTCGTCCCGGTCGTCGTAGTCCCGGTCGTCGTGGTACTCGTCATCCTCGTCGTCCTCGTCGATGTCCGAGTTGTCGCGGACGAGCTCACGGATCTCGTTGCGCTGCTGCGTCGTCAGGTCCTGCGTGTCGCGGATATGGTGGAGCTGCTCTTGGTACTGCTGTTGCGGATCGCCGGAAAGCAGGGCCCCCTCGTCTGCATCGTCGAACTGGGCGCTCGCCATGGTCGTCCCAGGAGATGCCCGTCGGTAAGGCCCAGCTGCGAACGGAGTCTCTGAGGTCGAGGGAGCGTTCGATGAGAAGAGCGAACGATGCGTCGGCGTCGAGAACGTCGAGGGTATAGGATGGCAGGGATGCAGGTGGCAAGGCGGCTGGAAGCTTTCCCCACTTTTTAGAGGCGCGCCTCCAAAAATTTCACCTGAACAGCAAGCAGCCTGACCCGACTCCCGGAGCAAGCGCTTGAAGGTGACCCACCACTCGAGTGAGGTGCGCACCTGAGTCTGACCTAGTCTGATACTCAGCAAGCTTGCAGCAGGCCTAGTGGTTCATCAAGCCTTGCAACAGCCACTCAGCTTCCAAGCTGCTGTACCGTCATGGCTGCTGAAGGGCAGTTGACAGCTCTATGCATGGATACCTCAGCTGTTGCAAGCCCAGTGTGTGCCACAATCTGCTCTCTTGTTAGAAGCTGCCACTTTGCAGGACACAGGTCAGTCTTCCAAGTTGAGGTGGGTTTTCCACTATGCAAGCATTGTGGGCTGGTGGTCCATCCAGGCCATCAAAACAAACACCAAGTCTTTCCCAATCAATCAGACTGACCAGCTCATAGTGCACACTCTTTCTCTCTCTTACACAGGTGACACCTGGAGAGCGCTGCAACTTTGCTCCTGGTCCGGTGATGGACCTACTACATGATGGTGCACTGTTGCAAGCAGTGCTTTGGCCTCTTCCCCTGCAAGAGCCTTTCCTGCAATGGCCGGTGCCTTGGCTGTACCGCCAACTACTTGGCCAGGAACTTAGTCAACGTCACAGAAGCTCGATGGAGAGCACTCATGCTCGACTATGACCGCAGGCGTACCGGCGATGCCATCACCTTTGACACCGCCCTTGTCCCTCACGGTCCCTTCCCGGCCAGGGCCCGCCTTGACAGGATCCCAGTCGAGACGTTCACCAATGCTCTCATCGACAGCACGATGGCGACGCTTGCGGCTTTTTACGGCGTGCGCGACTTCTTCCCAAACAAGGGACTTGGCAAAGGCTGGAGCGGCCTTTCTGGCCAGCTCAACGCTGCCAAAGCATTCTCACCGACTGTCAACCTTGTCGAGCTCTCCGTCATCCGTCAGGGCATCCTGGTACCGCAGCGACACTCTGTTGCCACCTGCGAGATGGTGCCATTGCATCACAACATCTTCAAAGGCAGCTCCCTGCAAGCTGTCCCCCACCATGCAACTGCCAATGTTGGGGCAGCTTGTTTTTGCAGTGGCAGATGTTCTGGTCAAGTTTTGCTTTCAGGTTGCTCTTGGCCTTGATCCAGTCCAGCAGCTTATTGTACTTGTTGATTGTAGCAAGCTCTTGCATGCCTGTTGAGCCAGAGTGCTTGCACATCCTCTTGATCCATCAGCAAGCAGGTGAAGCAGATCAGAACAAGATCATGCTTGCTTGAGAAGTGAAGGAGGAATTCACCACCCCTTTGTTGGCTGTGCTGGCAAGGTCTCTAGATGACCAGCCATCTTGCAACAGAGGACAGAAGGTACTTGCCTGTGCCATCATCTTGCTGGCACAGGTTCTTGATGCTAGCTGCCACCCTTTGCCCTTGTTGCTGCTGGTACATGCAGCTTGATGGTAGACCTGATTGATGCTTGCAGCAGTACATCCATGAGCTCATTCAGAACAACATGCTGCTGATGGGATGCATGAGGCTGACACTTGCATCTGCTAGACTTGAAAAGCCCCCTCCACTTGATCATCATTCAAGAGCTTGCTCCTGCATCAGGGACACTCTCCGCTTGGTGCCCTGCGGGGTGAATGGGCAGATCTGTCTAGCCGCAGATGTCTCGAGCGAACGCGCTCTGATTCGACAGGCTCTTCGAGACAAGCGCCATTGCGTTGGCCGTGCCCAGCGTACGCTCTGGAAGCCTGCGGACCTACAGCGGCGCAAGGAACCAGGGCAAACATCGAGGATGATGGCCGAGCTAGGGTATCCTGCGCATCGTCGGACGGCAGCATCTGTGCCGGGGACACAGAAAGCACAACACCGAGCGGGAAGCCAGAAGAGAGACGCGACAAACCAGCTCGACGAGGCCTGAAACCGACCCTTGGAGGCCAGATGTCGAGCGCCGCGCGACATCGACGGAAGATAGCGTCGGCCGTAGAGGGCCTGGAGGTGACACGGTCGCCGAGATAAGACCTCGATCATGAGCGAGGAAAAAAATAGGCGCGCGTGGACGAGGTCGGCAAGTGTGCCAATTTCGCGATCGACACGCATCGCAACACACCAGGATTCGACACGCATCGCAACACACCAGGATCTCTCAAGTCGGCATGGGGGCGCACTTGCGTCGTGCGAGACGTGTGGATTTTGATGCGGCGGCGAGAGCCGGATGGACAAAGTACATAGAGGGCGTGCTGGTGGCCCTGGGAATAGTGCGGTGGGGAAAGGCGATCACGGTGACGAGCGAAGTCGACAAGCTTAGGCCTCGAGGCCGGACTTGAAGGCCTCGATCTTGGTCTGGATCTTGGCCTTGCGCTGCTCGTAGCTGAGCTTGGTCTCCTTGTACTTCTTCGACTCGGCGGCCCAGTCCTTGGTCTTCTCGGTCGGCTTGAACGAAGGGTCCTCGCGGATCGCGGCGTAGGCGTTCTCGTAAATCTCTTCGAGGTCGTCCGATCCAATGTCGTCGGCCAGGTCTGTTGGCGACGAAGGAAGGCGCGGGGGAAGGCAGCAGACACATCTCGGTCAGTCTAGGGCCCAAAACGCTTGGGAAATCGTGTCTGGAAGCGGCAAAAGTCATCTCACACGACGAAAACGCTTTCTTGAACCTCTCGTCATCTTCTTCCTCTAGGCTCTCCATGTACTCGGCAACGTGGCCTCCGAAGATGTAGGAGCGGAGGAGCTCCGAGTCGAGCTCCTTGGACTCGGGGTCGTAGCCGGGGAAGCGCTTCTCGGAGTGAGGGATGAAGATGCCGCCGTCGGACGCGCCCTTGAGGGCGCCGAAGACGCGGGATCCGGTCGAGGTGCGCTTGAGGCCGACGTCGAGGTAGCACTTGAAGGGGCGGGGCTCGTCGTCACCGAGGGGCTCGGTCTCGGTCATCTCGCCATCGGGCTCAGTGACGCCCTCGTACTTGTCGGCGAGGCCGAGGATGGTGAGGGCGCGGCGGGCGACGAGGAGGCCGGTGGCGTAGGCGGCGGTCCAGTTGGCAAGGCCGTGCTTGATTCCGTAGCGAGGCAGCTCCTTGGACGAGGCCTGGGTGAGGACAAAGTCGCCCTGGATCTTGGCGTGGACGATCTGGCAGGTGACGTACTTGTTCGAGAAGCGAACGACGAGGCGGTACTTGGGGGCGTTGTACTTGTTTTTGGCCTGCGAGACGAGACGCTTGCGGGCGTAGTAGTCGGTCCTGCCCTCCCTACGGCGGCGGTACTTGACCTGGTAGCGCGAGAAGTACGAGCTCGACTTGACAGTCTTGGTGAAAGGCTGCGGGTGGGCGGACGCGGCGGTCGACGGCGAGGCGTGGGACAAGCGTGGCAAGGGTCAGAGGATGTCGTCGCGAGCGATGGGTGTTGGACGTCGGCGTGGCAACGTCGTATCATCGATGGGTCGTTGTAGGCCATCGAGGTCATCGTCGTCCGTGTGCGATGTCGGTTCTTCCAATTCGTCGCCCGGACAAGACGCCCAGGACCTCGGAGCGATCATGATGCCGGTCCGCGACCGATCCGTCGTCGTCGCCGTCGTCGTCGATGATGCTGCACTCACCATCTTGAAATATTCTTGAGGGGGGAGGGGGGACGAGCAAGGATGCTTGGTGGTCGGACAGGAGGACGTGCCAATGTCGCAACGGGTAGCGCCCGCGCCGCCCGCCCGACCGCCCGCCAGCCAGCGAGAGGATGCCGTCCTCCGGCACCGGACCCGCCTGCAGCCAGTCGCCAGGCTCAACTTCGAGGCAGAAGATGCCGGGGGCGCCTCTTTGCGCTGATTTGGAAATTTCGCCTCGAGGCCGGATCTCGGGGCCGAAAAGGGGCGGCTGCAGCCCCTGCAGCTCGGCCGAAGCTGCCAGCGACGCGTGACCAGCCCCAATCCTCGCAGCCGAGAGGAGCCAGGCGATTTTCGAAATTTGCACAGAGGAGGAAGCGGCAGCCCTCGACGGCGACGAGCACGGCGCTCTGAGGCAGATGCTTGCTGGCCTGGCTGGGCTGGGCTGGGCCGGGCTGGGCTGGGCCGGGCTGGGCTGGGCCGGGCTGGCTGGGAAGGGCAAACGAGCGGGCACGCAGGCCGGCACCTTCTCGTCGCCGCCGCCGTCGACGTCGTCTTGACTCTACCACGCCCACCTCCCCCTCATCCCCTATCCCAACCTCAAGAATCTGTCAAGGTGAGCTATTCGACATCGCCTCAGCGCCGCCAACAACTCCAGCACATCGCCAGCCTCCGTCCGGAATGGCCCCGTCGTCGTTGTGGTCGTCGTCCTCGTCGCCGTCGCAGTCGCCCTCGGATCGGTCCGGCGAAACCCGTCTCGACCCGCCATGATGCCGTAGCATTCCATCGACCGACCTTCGTCTCGACGCATTTGCGGCTCAGTTCCGCCCGCCAGCCTCGTTGTGATACCTGTCGACACCCGTCAGCTCGTCACCCCACACCTCTTCGGCCAAGGGCGCTCTTGCCTCGATCATGCATAGACCGCCGCTTGCTCTCTCCAGGAACGGATACGGAAGACCAGCTATGAGCGGTCGGGACGGACGGCAGGGAAACGTTGGGTTAGCGGACACGGCCTCAGAGCGGCGCATTCGGACGCGGAGAGCACGACTACGATTATGGGACGGTTCGGACTCAGCTGGCTGGGATCAGGACAACGGAGCCTTGATCGCATCCTCGCCTTGAAACGCTCTCGTGGCCTAGTAAAGCGTCGATGCAGCCTCACATCGAGGTTCGCTATCGAGGCCCCGGATGGAATCGTCCCGGCCTCGAGGCTCCAGTACCGTGACGCACGACACGACAACGACGACGACGGCAGCGACGACGGCGGGCCTGTTGCCCCACCTTGCTCCGTCCTCTGTTCACACGATTGCTTGAGAGCTCGTGCTGACTGTTCGGATTGCACATTGGTCTACCTCCTCTTGTCTGCCGGCTGGCTGGCTTCGCTCTTCGCTGCCGCTGCCGCTGCATTTGGCTCTATTCCCTTGCTGCTCGTCCTCGCTCTCCTCTCCCCCTTTTGCCCTCGCCTTTCCTGCGCTCGTCGTCGCTGACGCGTCTTACAGATGGGTGCCTACAAGTACGTCGAGGAGCTCCACAAGAAGAAGCAGAGCGATGTCCTCCGCTTCCTTCTCCGTGTTAGGTGAGTGCCTCGCGAGCCGCCGCCGCGATCCTCGACTATGGCGACGGCGACGATCGACGACATCACGGGACTTGGCGCTCACACCGTCGACTCGCTGCGCCCCTGTGCTCGTGCTCGCCTCGCCTCGCCCCGCTCCGCCCCTCTTCAGGTGCTGGGAGTACCGCCAGCTGAACGTCATCCACCGGGCGTCGCGACCTTCGCGACCCGACAAGGCTCGCCGCCTCGGATACAAGGCCAAGCAGGGCTACGTCATCTACCGCATCCGCGTCCGCCGCGGCAACCGCAAGAAGCCCGCTCCCAAGGGCGCCACCTACGGCAAGCCCGTGCACCAGGGTGTCAACCAGCTCAAGTACCAGCGCTCGCTCCGCGCCACGGCCGAGGAGCGCGTTGGCCGCAAGTGCGGCAACCTGCGCATCCTCAACTCGTACTGGATCAACCAGGACGGTGTCTACAAGTACTTTGAGGTCATCTGCGTCGACCCCAACCACAAGGCCATCCGCCGCGACCCGCGCATCAGCTGGATCGCCAAGGCCGTCCACAAGCGCCGCGAGAACCGTGGCCTCACCGCCACCGGCAAGAAGTCGCGCGGCCAGAACAAGGGCCACCGCTTCAACAACACTGCCAAGGGCGGCAAGAACTCGGTCATCCGCCACCGCGACACGCTCCAGCTGCGCAGGTACCGCTAAGCGGCTCGGCGGCGCACGTAGCGCGCCGCTCGTCTGCGACGGCTCCGGCATCCCTAGGCTCCCTCTTCCCCACCCTCCCCACTGTACAGCATCGTCCACACAAAAACACTGCCAACTACCCGCTGGCATCAGCACTCAACGCCACACCTATGCGCACCGCATCGTCACCCCACCCTCCTGTCCGTCTCCCTGCTGCGTCGATTCGTAGATGATTGTGGGGCCGGTCGTGTTTTGTTCTCCAGAGCGACAGCGTGGTTGGAAGGCTGTCGCTGATCCACATCGACGGCGTCCCTTGGGCGCAATGAGTGGGACGGCGTGCTGTTGGCAAAGCGACGGCGACGACTGGACGCTGTTGGGTTTGAGTGATGGTCAAGTGGAGGGGACCGCTGCGATTGTTGCTTGAAGCGCAGTCTAGCAGGCACGGGTGATCTTGCATCAGCTTCATGCAGAACATCAGCAGCATGTTGGTTTTGAAAGGGCTCATGCAGGCACTGCCACAAGCAAAGTCTTGATGACAACAATGACTATGGCCTGCATCAATGTTGATCAGCAAGATGATGGCACAGGCAAGGTACTCCTCTGTCCCCTGTTGCAAGATGCAGAGGATCTGATCACCCAGGACCCCAAGATGCCCCTGCAGCTAGCTCCTGATGCAAATGTACATCTTGGTGCACAGCTTGTAGCAGAGCTGCAGGCTGCAGTCAGGTGGACAGTTGTTCTTGTCAAGCCTGGCTCCAAGGGGGGAACCCCTGATGTTGCTGCAGACCTCAGCATGATTTCAGGTTGTGGTTTGCTGCCAACATGATGAGATGCCTTAGGGGCCCACCTGTTGCTGATGTGGGTGAGTGAAGTGAGCTTGTCTTTTGCACTTCTTGACGACAGGCCTTCAGTAGTGCCTGTTGCTCAGCCCTTTGAAACACCCAAGTTGAGCCAGGTTGGGTCGCGTCGAGTCGAGTCGAAAATTGCAAGCTGGCCCGACCGCCGGTGGGGTCGTCATGGGAAGAAGCCCGGCCCTCGCCTCGCCTCGCCTTCTCACCCCGCCTGCTTCTTTCTCGTGTCGCCCCTCCTATCCTCCCACCGCCATCACGCCGCGCCAGCTTGCACTCTCCATTTCGCTACACCACACGCCACCACCCTGACCCACGCAGGATGACGGACGACGCAGCGCCGCTGATTGTCGGCGTGGGCGGGGCGACGTGCAGCGGCAAGACGACGCTGTCCAAGCACATCCTGCGCCTTCTGCTCGCGTCGCACACGCCCTCGTTTATCCTGCACCAGGACGACTTTGCGCCACCGGAGGCGACGCTGCCGCTGCACCCCGAGAGCGGCGAGCGCGACTGGGACGCACCGCGCACCGCCATCGACTACGCGCGGATGCACGAGACGCTGCGCTACATCAAGACGCACCGGCGCCTGCCCCCGCAATTCAGCAGCCACGACCACCTCAACAAGCAGCCTCCCTGTCCCATCCCGTCCAGCCAGGAGCGACGGTGGATCGAAAGTTTCCGAGACGCCGCCGGCGACGAGGGTGACGAGGCCGGGAGGAGGAGGCGGGACGTGGTGCTAGCGGATGGGTTCCTGCTCTACTACGACGCGCGGTGCAGGGACGAGATCGACGTCCGGCTCTTTCTCCGGGTGCGGAGGGACATGCTCCTCAAGCGAAGAGAGGAGCGCAACGGCTACGCCACTGCCGGTGAGTCTCGGTCGTGGCCTTCCCTTTCAAAGGACGGCCATCGGTATGACAGAGCCATCCGTCTGACAGCCGCGCCTGCTCGACTCGGACGCCTCGCTGCGCAGAGGGGACCGTATGGCAGGATCCCCCGGGCTACTTCGAATCGGTCGTCTGGCCCGCCTACGTCGAGGCGCACCGCAACGTCTTTGTCGACGGGCAGCTCGACTCGGGCGCGCCCGCCCCGCCCGTGCCGGGACAGGAGCAGGCAGACGGCGGGCCGATACCGGACCTGGTCCTGCTCGAGGGCGACGAAGAGGCGCAGCCGCACTCGCTCCCGGAGCCGCTCCGCCAAGAGGTCCAGCACTGCCTCGACGCGGGCGAAGACGTCTCCGTGTCAATGGCCCTCATGGTCGAGACGGCCTGCCGCGCCATCCTCGAGCAGCTCACAGCGACTCGGTAGAGGCTCGCAATAGGATAGATTCGCAATCGCGCGCCGTGCCGCGACCATTGCGCTATACGATGACGGAACGAGGAAGAGGGGGACGGACCGTCGGCGCCCTACGTGCTACACCTTCCACTTGCGCATCCGTTTGGCGCCGCGGTTGGCGCCTCCACCGCTGCCGGCCTCTGCGCCGCCGCTGCCCGCCGATCCGGGCGCGTACCACACGTTCTTGTAGTTGACAGCGCCGGGCATCCGCAGCGGCAGGCCGGCCTCTGCCTGCTCGTCAACGTCGGCGCCACCCTTCCCGGCGCCACCCGGCCCCACGCCGAGGCCCGCCATCGAGGCGGTTCGGCTCCTCGGCACAGCAAAGGCGCCCGCAGCGCCGTCGGAAAACGAGGCGCGCTGGTTCCACCCAAAAGCCTGCGAGCCAAAGTACTGACCGCCAAACGCGGTCGACGAGGGCGTGGGAGGATACGGCGTCATGGGGCCTCCGATGCCGCCGGCGGGTGTCATGGGGGATGCCAGCAGCGGGTCGAGCATCGGGAAGCCGGACGGCGTCGATGTCAGCGTGCCCCGCCGGGAGCGCGACAGCGGCAGCGGCGTCATCATCGGCGGAGGTGCGTCGACGCCCAGGATCGACGCCGGCGTGGCAGGCGCGCTGACCTTGTTCTTGAGCCGCAACGTCAGGCTGGCCCTCGATGGCAGCTTTGGCGTGGCAAACACGCCGTCCGATGGATGACCGCCTGCCGCCGCCGCCGACGACGACGATGGCTCTGCTGCTGATGCATACGGCGAGTCGCCCGAGCGCGGGCTTGGCTGGCCGCCGACTTGCTGCGAGCGCACGCCGCTTGCGCTGCTGTCGCCCGCGTG